CTCACCAGTTCCTCAAAAAAAACCAATACATACACTAAATCCTAAAACCATCTTTCACGGTGTGCACAGATGCAGCATTGTTACTGCGATTTTTGAAAAAATATATCAACAGATCATTATACACCGTACACCAAGGAACATTTTAACAGTAATCAAAATGTTATAAAGCGTAATGTAACATCTGAAACTTATCCTGAGGTTTTCATCTCGATAATCCCCGATGTTTGTCTGGCCGGTCAAACCACACACGTGTTTAAAGTTATTTTTCATTGTATAACGTTTCGATCCCAACGGTGAGCTCCTTCAGTACAATTGAGACTTCTGTTTAAATCGTCGCAGCCCGATGGAGTGAGATATCCAAATTAAGTATAAAATATAGTATAGCAATAGCTTTATGATGAATGAATGAATCTTGAAATTAGAGGCATTCCGGCCACCATAAGGAGCCAGAGCATAAGCCGCTTAAGCGGGCCCTTATGCACCTCTACAATGCTTAGATCACAAGCCTCGCCCTTTTGACGAAGCTTAGAATCGCCTTGAGTCCAACCTCCTTGACGTCCTGAGGGTCCAAAGTAATGGACCCCAGTATAGTCTGCATATAGTAGCTCAGAGCTTCACAGCGACTCAAAACGTACGCCGAGGTCTCTTCCTCTACCCTGCAGCGCTCACACAAGGATCCTCAGCCACCCCCATCACGTGCAGTTCGCGCCTTAACGTGTTATGGCCAGACAACAGTCCCACCAGCAACCTTAGGTTGGCTCTATCCAGAGATAGGCAGAAGCGCCCATCCTTAGCACTGGGCCCTTCAATGAGTTCCCGTGCCTGGCGGAGATGTCTGGAGATACTTCTCCATTTCTGAGAGTGTTGTCTACCCTCGTTGGATACTCCTCAATAAACTTGGGAGTAATACGATCACCCATGCTTAGAAGGACAGGGTCCTCCCTTTGCAATTCGACTAAGATGGCAGTATGCCCCTTGACAGGATTCAAGAAAGCCAAGCTGCCCTGACTCCACAGTCAATGAGCGACTACTCTCGCTTCACCGCGGATCACCAGATCCAACGGTGGGAGATCCAACAGAGCTTCCATTGCACTCAATGACGTTGTTCGCACTGCGCTTGTAATACTAATACAGGCGAAACGATGAATTTTATTGAGTTTGGCCTTAGTTGTCTCAGTTCTAATGCAAGGCCAGCAGACCAGGGAGCCGTACAAGAGAGATGGACGTACTGTCGTCGTGTAGAGCCAGTATACCACTTTGGGTTTAAACCCCCACCTTACACCGACAACTCGTCTACAGGCCCACATCGAATTGCGAGCCTTGCTAACCTTGTATTCAACATGCTCTCTCCAGCTCAGTTTGCAATCCAGGATAATTCCCAGATATTTCACTGACTTGGGACAATATTAATCTCGTCCCAAAGAAGGTCGGCATGACCAGCCCGTCAAGCCTTCTTCTCCTAGTGAATAGTATCAGCTCGGTCTTTTCAGCATTAACAGAAAGATCGACTTCCCTACACCACGATTCTACAGAGCGCAGAGCGCCCTGCATAATCTCCGAGACTGTTCTACAAAAACACCCCCTAACTACTATGCTTACGTCATCAGCATAAGCTTGCACGTAGACACCCATACTGCTGAGCCTCACGAGGAGTTCGTTCACCACGATACACCACAGTAGGGGTGACAGAACTCCGCCCTGAGGGCAGCCTCTAGCTACGCTCACGCTGCAGCTTACGTCATTCAGCATAGCTGTTGCTACCCGACCCTCCAGAGTAGATAGGACCCAATCTATTACGATTGATCCAACCCCGTGTCTAACCAAGGCATGTCTGATAGAGTCGATTGTGGTGCAATTAAATGCACCTTCAATGTCCAAAAAGGCCACGAGTGCCACTTCTCGCTGATCTAGAGTCTTCTCCAGCCTACCGACCAGATTGAGTAAGGCCAGATCAGTCGATTTTCCAGCTTGGTATGCAAACTGATTTGCATGAAAAACACACCTTTCCAGCGGGCCATCCCTTATAGCTTTATGATTATTGTCTTATTTGTGCACTGTTTAAAAAAAAATAATAAAGCTTTGGCGCCTGTGAGCGATGAAATATCCTGTATAATATTAGATACTTTAGGTGAATCTCTCCATGCAACATATTTAGTGATCCTTTAATAATTATTTAGCAGGCATTCGTTCAATAACAATACATTCTGTTCCACAACTTTCACGTATTTTGAGAAAATATCAACATAAGATGAATAATGGGATCCAGCTTAACTGCTTAACAGCATTTGAAGGTAATGTGTCACTACCGGGGCAGATGGTGCCCAGTTCCCTTTAGGTTTATCTTCAACTGGCTTCGTATCATGCGGTTGAGATGCACATTTGGTTGGGTTAGATTAAGATGTAACTAGGATTTCTTCTTGTCTAATTTATTTCCAATCTTGTGGATATATAATACAGTAGAACCCCGATTATCCGAAATCCGCTTTATCCGCAACAGATCGCATACAATAATTTCTCCGTTTTAAACGAAGTTGTTCGGGAAATCGGCGCATGATTCGAAATAGCCGCCGGTAGTTCTGCTTTCGGCGTTTGCGTCATTAGATTCGCTGCCGGTGTAAGTTTGTTTCAGCCAGGTTCATAATCGCTACGATGGAGCAGCATAGAAATAAGCGTAAATGCGTTGTTATTACCATAGAACAGAAACTTGAGGCACACCGACGTTTAGTTAGAGGTGGATTGCTTAAAAACGTGGCAAGTGATTTGGGGGTGTGCGTGAGTGCTATTTCAGAATGGAAAAAACGACGCGAGAAAATTGAAAAGTGGGCCAGTGTTTTGACATCATCGCAGTCGTCGCGGAAAACTATGAAAAAGGGAGAATATCAAAAAGTGGATGATACTTTATATCTGGGGTTTAGACAGAAACGAGAACGTGGAATACCAATTTCTGGACCAATTCTAAAGCAAAAGGCAGTCAACTGAAGTGAAGGATTGCCAGTTATTGAGGTGCCTCATAACTTTACAGCCAGTGATGGTTGGCGGCACAGATGAAAAAAACGACACGGTGTACGAAAATTAAAAGTTTGCGGAGAAAAGTTATCTGCCGGTAGGTCCGCTGCATTAAAATTTGGAGAACATTTTAAAGAATTAATGAAGCAGTATGGTTGAAATCCAGAACAAATTTACAACTGCGACGAAACGGGCCTAAACTATAAAGTGTTACCGGCGAAAAGTTTAGCTTCAAAACAAAAATCTGGAGCTACTGGCTACAGACGCAGTAAAGAACGTGTGCTTGTATCAAGGCTTCCGGTACACACAAACTTCCGTTCCAACGCACTTCCAGTATGGTATCAAAATCAAAAAAAATCCTCGATGGATGCTGCTGTATTTAAGGACTGGTTTTACAATCATTTTATTCCCAAGACAGAACGATATTTTAATGAACGCGGATATACGCGAAAATGTATTTTGCTATTGGACAATGCTCCGAGCTACCCAAGTAAGGAGCTACTTAAAAGTGGAAAATACTGGTGATGCTTTTGCCTCCTAATGTAACGTCACTGGTGCAGCCAATGGATCAAGGAGTTTTAGAAGATTTAAAACGTAATTACAGACGTTTTATTATTATTATTATTATTATTATTATTATTATTATTATTATTATTATTATTAAACAATAAATTTGAGTTGTGTACAAGTACTATAAACTCAAACACATAATAGATGATAGTGTACAGACAAAAGAAACATAACAATTTCACAATCTTAGCACTTCTGAAGCATACATATACAGAATGGGAACAATATGTTAAGCACTGCGGTGTCTATCATAATTGTTTTTGAAACTGCTGACGGATGCCGAGTTCACTACATAAGATGGAAGACTGTTTGGTAATGTTTTCATGGGCCAGCTGATGTCACGTAAGTTGAAATCACTAGTTAACAGAAAGTTTGAATTCTTGGTTAGAAGTTCTTCAATGAATTTACACAAATAAACATCACCAGCACAGCGACGCGGTCTGTAGATACAGGCTAATACAAAACTGAATTTTGGCCGTGTTATTTCCCAAAAGAGACTGTCGATACCATCGAAGCTCTTGGAAGTAGTAGTTATTGTGAAATTGTCAGCAATTGCGGTACGTACATAAACACAGACCCCACAATACCCCGGCGTGCGAGGGGAATCTACCCTATACAAACAGTAACCAGGCAAATTAACAACATAGTCAGGTGTATTTGAGCTGAGCCAGGTTTCTGTCAGGCAAAGAAAAGAAGGTTTGGTTCCATCAACAAAGCTTGCACTTCGAGAAGTTTGGATACCAGTGATTGAATGTTTGTGTAGCACACCGACCACTCGGTTAGCAGTTTTTTGACACCCTTGACATATTTTATTTGTGATATTGCGTTCTCCAGCGGTTCGCCTTCGTTTCACCTCCTCACGTAGTTGTTGCACCTCATGCATTTGTGACGGTGTTTTGTCGTCCGAAATCTTAACGGAGTTATAGGTAGAATGGCTTAAAATATCATTCTTCTAGCGTAGAATATTCTTAGCTATTATGGGCGATGCAAAGCCAACCTTTATTAATGGAGGACGAGATGTACCTACAGCACTAAGTCTGGTCATGTTGAGGCGGTATCCATTAGCAGACGGTTCGATGTGGTTGATTATGTCTGTTACGGAATCAGAATCATTGTTGCCTTCAGGAAGACCTTTCAGGATAATATTGTGAGATCGTCTGAGTATCTCCAAAGTTTCAGCCGGAGATGATGGGATATTTTTAGCGTTGGTATTCAACGATCTATCATTTATCAGTGCTTTGGTCAGTCTAGATTCAACGTTCGAAATGTTGAATAAGATAGATGCTTGCGCACTTTGGAGTTGCTGAATACTAGCCTCACAATTAGAGATCAGTTCGTCATGGCGAACAATAGAAGTCGAATGCTATTGTAGCAATGACATACAATGGGATACATCGTTGCTTAGTTGTGTTTGTGAGTTTTTGATGTATCTAATGTCATTGGCCATGGTCGACAATTGGCACAAAATGAGTGCTAGAGAATCGGAAGCAGTCGCTTCGCCAGACCGATGTGGGGAGACCGCTGGTCGAGCACTAGTTGATGAGAACGACGAGTTGCTACGAGTAACTCTACCATGTCTACAGCATGCTGAACAAACCCATTTGTTGTCACCGTTTTCGGCGAAGTAGCCGATCTCTTTAGTGGTCAAGTTAACACAATTAGCGTGGTGACTTTTCAGGCACTTGGAGCATAAGATATGCACTTGAGAAGTGCCAATTAATTTGGAACATGTAGCGCAAACTTGGTTCATTGTTAATTATCAACAAGTTGTAGGAAGGGAGAGGGTACAGGAAGACGCACTTCACTGTATTGGGTCGATAATAGAGACTCACACACAAAGTGGTAGACCACGGATGTGATAAGGAATAGAAATAATGAAAGGAATCGTCTCAGAGCCTCCGTGAGAGAACAACGAATGAAATGTTATATTCAGCCCACAATTGCTATTAGTCAGCTACTTTACTACTTCTTTATCAGGTGATACACAGAAAAGAGGGATTCTAGTTCAAGGTCAACAAAAATGTTGCACCAGAAATGGTCGCTCGGCAGAAGAAAATTGAATTGTTTTGTAGTATATAAGTGCAACGTACGAAGCCAATTAAACTACTCACAAACTGTTCCTGACGTATGGGAGACTCACAACAAAGATTCAAAATAATTATAAGCTGGTGATACACTATGAAACCGTAATCAAATCGAAAAAGAAGCAAAACACGACTGTACACTATGAAGTTTGGTTAACTGGCTAACTTTTGTTATTAGAGCAAATTTTAGATCAAGTAGATAACGGTTGTAACCTCGTTGATTGTTCAAAAGAGATTAACCTCAAGAATGTGGTATATTGGATAGCAGAAGCATGGAGTCAAGCAAAAACATTTATCTTACAAAAATGTTGATCGAAAATAATTAAGCAAGAAATGGAACATTGCGCAGACTATGAGAATAACAACGAAAATTTACATGAGCTTGTCGTAAAAATAGCAAGGTGTGAAAATCTTACACAAGCAGATGTTGGTGAGTGGATTAATGGTGATGGATTTTTGGAAGAATTAACTGATACAGAACTAATAAAAAGTTTGTTACAATGGCGATGAGACAGTTTTAAGTGATGCTAGTGACAATGAGACAGAAATATCTGCCAAAATATCACATTCTGAGGGATTAGAAGCTCTACAAAAGACGATGACTTACGTCGAACAACAAGAAAATGCGACAGCAGCTGATGTGCTTATCAAACGTTGGAGGGATATTGCTGCCAAAAATAAGAACAACGCAAAACGTATACAGTTAAAAATTACTTCCTTTGTTACTAAATACTCGTAAATATGCGTGTTTGTATCCACATGTTTATATTTCACGTAACTTTATATAGGTACGTATATACTCACCTAACACACGCATTTATCGTTTCAATAAAAGCATTATGAGTTTAAACATTTATTTCCGTTTGATCCGGAATTTCAAATATCCGGAAGCACTTGGGTCCACATTATTTTAAATAATCGGGGTTCTACTGTATATATTTAGTTTTTACACAAGAGATTCTGCCTCTGGAGATTATGAGTAAAAAACATTATTGTTCAGATGAAGATACCAAAACAAGTCGCTTCGGGAGAGGGATCCAACCCTGATTCATCGCCAAAAGGATCTACTCGAGCGTGTTAGATTAAGATTAGGAGGGATACCTAGAATCCTGTTCAGTACCTCCACCATATACATTCCCTTTATACAGAGGGGTACGTCTAGGCAGTCGATCAAAATAATAAAAAAATCAATGGTTGGAAATACTCGTGCACGCCAGACTAAGATGAGATGTGTACATGCTGGAAAGTGTGTATTTCAACAATCAGACTGTTTTCACGTGACGTAAAGGGTCACAGAAAAAAATATAACGAATGGAGATAAGGAAATGCGGTTTTCACTTGTATGTGGGATTTTTATGTACTCTTTGAATAATGAAAAATGATGATACCATTACATTTACAGTTGTTGAAATAGCGGCGTCAAGAATATTTTGACTCTGAACTTCCTATGCAACTCCATCGTTAGTTTATAAAGGATTGAGTTAGGGACAGGTAAAGCCCTTTGAGAAAAAGATCAGTTACGAACATGTACGATTGAAAAATTGGACGAGTAAAGTCAGTCAAACAGGCCTATACATCGTCAGACGCGGCCACCGAAGTACCGCCGCAGTACGCGCAGAACCATCAAACAGACCGTTACGCCGGGCGCTGAGCCCAGATACCAGGAGGAGACGCGAATCGAAAGCACTTCTTTATCATTGTATGTTTTGAAGACAACTGTAAAAAATGGCTAATAGGTGAGTAGAACTCCTGCAGGCTCTCTTGCAGTAAGCCTCCCAAGGGGTCTTGAGTATGCAAGTTATGTGTGTCTGTCTCAATGTCTGTTATAGATGATGATGAACTGCATGATGGTGATGGAATGATTATATTTACAATAGGTGAGTCTGTACCAAGGTGACTTGGTTGGGGACTCACATTCAAATTCAAAACTGTTTATTATATATTCTTGGAATGCATTATTTAAATTTTATTTTATACAAACTAAAATTGCAACAAGATGTCGCGTTGCTGTACTGTGTATGTGTGTAAGTGGGGTTTATTTGATGTGTAGTAGTGGTAGTATGCTTACGTATGTGTGATGTGTATTTTTATTCCATTTTGTCTTGGTTATCATCTACTAGGTATCCGTATGGTCTTCTTGGTCGGTGGCTTTACTTTATGTTCATACGATAGCCTCAAAATACTGTGTTGGTTGGCTCTCACGTACTGGGTTTGTTCAAAATTAATTTCTTCGATGGATAAGTTTGTCAACATTATTAAGCATTCCCTGTTGTATTTTTGTAGTTCTGATCCGGTAAGAGTCTTCATCCAGCATTTCCTAAAGGACTTTATCTGGTCAGGAGCGTTGTTTTGTAAACTCCTTTCAACAGGATCTCGACTTCTTTTAATACTATTTTACTGATTCTTGATAGCCGAGGAATAGGATTGAATGATGATAGAATCGGGGGGCAATTTACCGTCATGCTCATTTGCAGAAGCTGAGCACTGAGTAACATCTGATGGATGCTCCGAAGGGTTGATAAAGTTGGCGGATTGGCGCTTTTTAACTGCAGATGGTATTGGAGTCTCGATTGAAGTGTATACGACCCAAAAGGTAATGTGATTGGGGAGAAAAGGGGGAAAGCTTTCGAACCTGCCCGGGAGTTGCAACGTCTAAAGAAGCATAAGCTATCCAGCCACGAGAGTTGAAGTAGGGAGTTTTACATCTTTCAAGGTGAAGATAATGAATCCAGGGTCATCAGTAGTCACCCATAACAGAGCTGCGAGATCACCTCGATCAGAAGTTGGAAGTTGCGTCTTCGTGAGCGAAGAGTTTGTGAACCCAGCTGATCTGCTAGGGGAGAAGCTAGGGTTGTTCTAGTCTGCAACAACATTGGAAGTTCAAAGTAATTAACTCAACAACAAAACTGTAGGAGTTGAGCTATGGGAAAACAAAGTTGATTTTGAAGTGCTATGGGCTTGTTTGTGCTAGAGAAATGCGGACGTTCTGGGTTCTAAGTTACTGAACTGTGGAAGTTCGACGAGAAGTTTGGGAGTTGGGAGTATACCTCTAACAAACTCCAGTACTCACCCAGTAGGACAGAAGAGCTCTTATCTGCACTATACATTAGAAGCAACTATTACTCTCGTATACTGGATGGCGGCTAGATATCAATGTGTTGGGAACAATCTCCGTACGAACAGAAATAAGCCTGTTCCGTAAGAATGTTCACTTTGCTTCCTCTTAAGAGGAGAAAATATTTTTCTGTTTTAAAGGCAAACGTACGGTAAAATCTACTTGTCGCAAGCTGCCGATAGGTAGACGTAGTTTATTGTTTCTGTTAACAAACTTTGTTATGAGGTACATTTGAACCAGGTATCTATGGGCATATTTATGTAAATCAGTGCATAGTAGCGTCGACTCCCCAACTAAACTGAAAGGTAGAGAAGAAAATAAATTACACGTGATGCTTTCGTCCATCTGACTAAACGACAGATGTTTCGTGCGTCTTGGCTACTCATCAGCAATGTCTCGACTTCGTCTCTCATCTCTGGAACAACGACCGAAAGCATGGCAATCATCCTCTATCCAGGAAGTACGGTCTATCGGAATAATAAAGCGCAAAGCAGAATAGACATGTGAGGAGGGCGCATAGCATGTTTAGTTTATTCAATGGCAGAATCGTCAGGCATCTAGTGTGACTAGGCTACTGATCGTGGAGCGACATCTCTAGCACTTCCAACTGATAGCAGCTATGCGCTCACCGCAGAGGTCGATTCTGGTGATAGATGGCTTCTTGCGCTGTGCTATTTCAAGGACATAAATATTGACGCACAAACATTTTTTCCTATTTACCTGAGACCACGAATATTTTGCCGATGACATTTTCATTATAATTTCCCATTTAACAACAAGCCCAAATATCCACTTAATGAATTTTCTTAATCGCCGTGGAAAATAATGAGAATTTAATTACTTTCGAGATAATTAAATACCCGTAAACCGAATCTTTGGAAAGTCTATTACGGTAAATCGAAGCCGCTGAAGTGCAGTTTTGAAGTCTTTGTCTCTTCGGATCGAGAACTTTCCTCTGCTAATTGATTAACTTTTACCCATATATCCTGCCAGCTTGTTTATCGCAAAACGACGGTGCAAAAATAGTTTCCCAATAGTTGGTTTATTTTTCAGAACTGTGTGTGTAATAGCTAAGCATATAGCATCGCAGACTCATAAAGAGTACTATAAACATGTATTACTTTATTTGATCAATGGGTTTTGCAATTTACGCTAAATTTTAATATTATACGAAAATACTTGACACCTAGTGTAACAATTCCTTCATGTTTCAGTCAATTTATACAAAGTTTTTTTATGCACATTAACCTCCTCGTGAAGCGTCTTTCCTCTTGTGAAAACCGTATAAAAATCGTATTAGGCAGTAGTTATTAGTAGTTATTAGGGTAGTTTTTGAGTCTTTCACGGTCCGGCAGACGCTGTTCGGAACACTCTATAGTGCTTTTCTTTGCGATGCCATAAGCGCGGGCTGGGTTGGAATATTTCTCAT